CCAGGCAGAACCTCTGTACCCTTGCATTTCAGGGTTCCCTTCACCCCAAACTGCAACAACAGTAACTGCTCTAGCTGAAAGAGACAGGTAACACTCCAGCTAAAGAGAGCCCCAGCCCAGTCAATGGCTGAAGCATAAACTGTTTAATTGCAAAACAAGCCTCCATGTGTTTTGTGAGGCCCCTCTGAAGAGAGAAAGGAGGTTGAGGCCTGGTAGTATCCTGAGGTCCCCGGGCCATGTTTATTCCCTCCATATAATGCTTTGATTAACATTGTACTTTTAAGTTCAGGCTCTCTCTTGCTGGTAAAGGTCTATACGTGTGTTTGTGGGAGAGTGTGTTCCTTAGGGATAATGCTTTTTAACTTCTGTGTTTGTTATGGTCCTAGAGAAAATGCAAAAGAATTGAGTCCACTGGCTAATTAAGGGGCAGTCCACAGGTTGGAGGCTGTGAGCTAGTATTTAGCAAGTTCGAAAAGCACAGGGTTATTCCAATTAAAATATATATTAGTTCTGTAATTGAATGTGATTGGTGCAACTAAGTGAGCTGGAAGAAGAAACACAGAAGGGAAGCAGATTTAAATTACAGAGGCTTTAGAAACCCAATTTGAATTGTCAGTGCAAACTGGTCAGAAGTATGAGCCACATAAGTCACTGAGATTACAATGTGTTAGAAGGAGAAAGAATATTCAGGGCCAGATTCCTCCTGAGATTGGAGCCTGGTAATAAGTCTGCAAGCAGGTGAGGTGTGGGCAGTTTCTACTTACCCTCTCAAATCTTTGATACATTTAAGGGTGGAGTTGGGATGGAAGGTAAAGAAAGTTCATTCCCACCCTTCAGGTGGATTCAAGGTACGCGGGATGCCACTCAAATTTAAAAAAAACCACCACACTTAGAGGTTTTTTTCAAGGAGAAACAGAAAGTTAATTTATTTGCTATTCTTGAGAATAGGGTGTCCCTCCAACAGGATACTCTGATGAGGGAAAGACAGAGATGGAAACAAAAGAACCAGATTAAATAGCCCTAACGGGCAAATCCCCCCTCCCACCAACATAAAACAAAGGAAACAATATACATATCTATATTTTTTAGTTTACTGAAATAATATGAAAGAGGCGATTAAAAATGTGCAGTCAAGCTCGATGATATGCTGTGTAGCCAAGTCAGTGTGACCGAAATATAGCAACAGATGCAACAAGATACAGGGGAGGTTTCAAACGTTTACTCCTGAGACACATTGTACTGTATAACCAGGTCCCCATGACCGAAATATAGCAACAGATACAACAAATACAGGGGGGGGCTTCAAAGGTTTCAGGCTTAGCAAACTTTAACTGCTAATGTGGCACTCGAAGAAAAGGGGACTTAAAGAAATCTATACTTAACCCTATCCTGCCTCCTGAACTTATTTCCAAATTTAAGATAGTCTTATCCCACACCTTAATTACACTGAGAAGTCTTCACTGGGACATCCCATTCAAAGGGAAGTAAGTTGTGGGAAAATAAAAGCCAAGAACCTGATGTAGGAATGAACTGAAAGTCTGGCCTCAATCAAGGCTGGTGGGTGGTCCTTAAACCTGCCTGGCTCACCTGGGCCAACCTATGGGCTCACATAAAGATAAAAAAGCTAATGGAAGATGCTGACCCTTTGTAATAGGGACATTTTGGTTGCTGAAAGGGGGAAGAAAATGAACATTTGTGTGAAGACAAAATCTGCTTGAGAAGAAACAAAGTCCCTCAGATAAAAAGATTGAGGAATGTGTCAGACAGACATGAGAGAAGATGATCCCTCCCTTCAAAGCACTAAGTTAGAACTTGTTTGAAAGCAGAGCATTGACTGAGATAAAGATGGTTGCAGAGTACTGTGGTCCATCTGCTCATTTCCATAGAATGGTTTACAGAATTTTGAAGGTTATAACAGAATTTGTAATTATAGGGCAGTTCGGCATCACATTAGATAAATGCCTGGGCCTGGAATCAGGAAGACCAGAATTCAAATCCAGCCTCTGACACTTAGAAATGATGTGCCCCTGGGCAAGTCATTAACCACTATTTGCCTCAGTTTCTTCATCTGTAAAATAGGCATAATAATAGCGTCTCCCTCATAGGGTTGTTGTATGGATCAAATGACATTATATTTATGGAAAGCATTTAGTACAATTCCTGGTACACAGAAGGTACTATATACACTCTAGCTATGATTAATTAGTGTTAATTTCACAACTGGAGGGTCATACCTGATGGAAGAGTGGATTTTGGGTAGGCATGTGTCATTAAACAGAAAGAGACTTGATCTGAGAAAGACAATCACATAAAAATGGAATATAGAAAATGCAAAGCTGAGTGCTAGAGGAATTAGAAGATTCTGGGGACAGAAGACCCAGAAGGCTTCAGAAGGGCAGCTGCTTACTAATGGCAGAATATAAGAAGATGACAAGAGATGAGCAAAGCGGACATTCCTAATCTATTTCAAGGGCCTCCCCTCTCCAAGAATTATAATTCTATGGGTGTGTCTATTTGGGTGGCAAAAGAAAGTTCCTAAATGTAAAAATTTTATGGTTTGGGTGTCATAGTCCCTAATCCAAAGCTTGAATAAAGATCAAATTTAAATATCTCAATCCTAGACGACCACCCCCACCCCCATTTTAAACAGTCATTGCCCCTAGACCTCTGAGAAGCAGGGAAACAAAGCAGGTAGGCCTTGCAGTTGGTTCAAGGGCTATTTTATTGAAGGAGAATCCTGTAAATGTTGCAATCTGAATGGAGGAAAGCAGAATCCTTTGCTTATTGCCTTTAGTACCATCTGCAGCTTGAGAGAGGGAAAATCTTTCCCTTTACTGCCCTCAGTAGGTTAAGAGAAAGAGAAGGAGAAAGTAAAAGCAGGCTTTGCAAAGGTTTTGTTTTTAATAGTATTTTATTTTTTCCAATTACATGTAAAGACAATTTTTAACATTCATTGTTGAAAATTTTGAGTTCCAAATTTTCTACCTACCTCCCCTCCCACCTCCCTAAATCAGTAAGCAATTTGATATAGATTATATATGTCTAATCATGTAAAGAATTTCTATATTAGTCATATTGTGAGAGAAGAAATAGACCACAAGGATAAAAACAAGAAAAAAATGAAGAATGTGAAAATAGTATGCTTCCATTTCTATTCAGACTCCCTCAGTTCTTTCTCTGGATGTGGATATCATTTTTATCACAAGTCCTTTGGAATTGTCTTGGATCACAGTATAGCTGAGAAGAGCTGAGGTATTCATAGTTGACCATAGAGCTATGTTAACTGTTACTATGTACAATGTTCTCCTGGTTCAGCTCGTTTCACTCAGCTTCAATTACTCTAAATCTTTCCTAGTTTTACTGAGAGCATCCTGCTCATCATTTCTTATAGCACAATAGTATTCCATTACATTCATATATCACAACTTGTTCAGCCATTCTTCAATTGATGGACATCCCCTCAATTTCTAATTTGCCACTACAAAAAGGGCTGCTATAAATATTTTTGTAGATGTAGGACCTTTACCCATTTTTATGATCTCTTTGGAATACAGACCTAGTAGCTGAAGTGCTGGATCAAAGGATATGCACAGTTTCATTGTTCTTCAGGCATAGTTCCAAATGGCATTCCAGAACTGTTGGATCAGTTCCCAACCCCACCAACAGTTTTACAATTGTTTTGCAGGTAATTGTGCAGATATTTTTGCTAAACAAGCATAATATTTTCTGAGCATCCTGTCAAGTTTGATCATGTGCTTTGAATGCAAAGTCACTTTTTTCCCCTACTGTACAACAATGCTTCCATTTATATTATATTTAGCCCTCAAATTACCTATCAATTCCTCCCAGATCAAAAGCCCAATCCATTATGCTCTGCTCTACAATACTTGCCAATACCTGTTGCCCCTAGTTGAATTAACCTCATCCTTAAAAATCCACCCTCTAGAGTAGGTTTGACTCTTCCTTGGAATACTACAGTTTGTAAAGCTGTTTCACATCTGCTTCTCACAATAGCCTTGTGAAGTAGATAAGACAGGGATCCTCATTTGTCAGATGAGAAAAACAGCCTTGCTCAAGGTCACACAGTTAATTAATGGCAGAGACAGAACTTGAAATCATATCTTTTGACTCCAAATCCACTGTTCTTTCTAACATACTTTGCTCCTCCCCCAAAAAGGCACATTTTCGATTCCCTGTGTGCTACTTTAGTGACAGTAAGAAGGGGCTGGAAGGGTTCTCTGGCAGTAACACTCCTCTTCACTATGTAGGAAGAGGCATTTGTGGCATTGTTCTCCCTGTAATTTGGTCTATCATCTTTGTCTTTCCTCTCTCTTCAGTGGACATTCTGCTTTAGTCCATTGTGGGTTTCATTCACTCTACAGTGAGCTAAATGCTATAGGTTCCCTGCTCCCTCAGCAATGAAATTTAGACTGTGGTTTTTTCTGGTCTAGGTTAGCTGTGATCAATAAATTTCCCTGGGTTACAAAATAGCATCCTGTCTGCTTTAGACTAGGATTTAGTGGCTAGGCTCTACCTTCCTTTCAGGAATCATTTAGATCAGATTAAGTTCAGGCTGGATGTGAGGTGGACAATCCATATGCTTTCACTTGGGGCCAAGACCTATCTGCCCTCAGGGAATGAAGCTGATATAGGACATTGTTCTGTGGCCAGTGTCTGAGGACAGGCCTCCTGAGTTGGGAACAGAGAGTTAGGAGGGGAAATGTCAATCACCAGTAGATAGTAGGAAGGGAGCCCAAGGAAGATCTGATCTAGAAAGGTCATAAAATCGGTGACTTACCATACTGGCCCAAGAAATGGGCCCTAAAGCCACCATATCCTATGTGTCCTAAGCACTGTTTTCTCCTACTAAGTCAGTAAATGTGAGTTGACCTCTTACCTGCTGGGTCAAATATCTAACAGTATCATAGATACCACCCCAGTCCCCTAATCCTGTTAAACAAACCAGATCTGGTAATCCAAAGGGCCCTATACTTCATTGCTTTTCTCCCTCCCTCTTTGCTTCTACTTGGTTTCCAGGGTTCATTCATCATCCTTGAGAAGGGGTTTTTCCTCTCCCTCTTTAGGAACTTTTTCCTTACTTTTGGCCTTACCTACAGCAGCCCCAACGCCAGCCCCTATGCTCCCCCCAACCACTGTGGCACCCATAGTGGCCCCAGCTACAATGTCTCCAGTCAAAACAGCGGCTGCCGTACCAACTGCCATTATACCACCAGTTGCCACCCCCAGGACTGCAGCCCCAACAAGTCCACCCAAGGCAGCAGAATAGTTACGGAAACGATTTTTATAGGATATATAGAAGTCTTTAACTCTCTTCTCAATCTCTTCCTGAAAGTTGTTCATGAATTGATTCTTCTCTGGGCCCCTTCAAAGTCTCCTCGAGACTATTTAAGATTGTATCTTTTGTGGTTGAGAGGCTTTTCCACATGGTTCTAGGAAGAGTCTCCAAACAAGTACACATGGACTTTGTGGAAGAATCCTGAAAGTGTGGAAGAGGAAGCTGTGACTGCTGACTGGGCACCGAGGGAATTCAGATCCCTTTCATTCTGAGAATTCAGGCAACCTTCACCCTAGTCCCCCACTACCAGTCCAGATGAACTCAACTATGCTTTAAAAATAAAAAGTTTTATTGTTGCCTATATATGTATGTATGCATGTATATGCATATGTGTATATGTATATCACTTTTTTTTTTACAAATATGCCCCTCCCCTGGCACCCAACACATCAATTTCATCAGACAGTATATGCAACATTGTACACACATACTTCCCAATGTCTTCACTGAAAGATGGAAGCTGAGTCTGGTCATTACAACTGCAGACAAGAATTCAGGCTGGTTGGGTGAAAACCAATGACTTTGGTTCCTCAGCCTGCTTTTACTTCTCACTCAAACTCATTTGAAGCCAAGCCAGGGAGGATATTGGAAATGTGTTAAATTGTCTGAACCTAAAGCTGGATTAATTTAGATATCTGTTAATTATAATTAACAGAAAGCTTTGGTTTCCAGTACAGAGGGTCCAAAAATAAAGATCTGGTTTTAAATTTTTAGCTTTGAAACTCTTCTGGGCTTCTGTCACCTGGTTCTAGTGGCTAGTCAACAAATAATGATTAAAGAGCTAGTAGCCAGGCCTTATGAGGCAGAAGATTTAACCAATACATCCTAGCAGACTTAACTTGAAAAGGCTGAGCTGGCTCTGAAGAGATGAGATTACTAGGGGAGACTGGAAACTTAGCAAAATAGTGCCCAGAGAGGAGAACTCTGACTCTGTGAACCCAGTGGAACTCACCAGGGGACATCAGTGATCACTTTCTAATAAATATAGAGGGGAAACTGACTACTTCTGATTCCTAGGATCCCCTATGTTCCCTGGGGAATTCATGTATAATAATAATAGCTGTACATGCTCACTCAGGTGAGCATATGGTGATGTCTGTATATATGGGATAAAAATATTCTACATTCATGGAGGAAATGTCCTATTACAAATCTGCTTACTCTGCTATTTCATTAAGCACCTTTGCTTTGAACTAATTGTATCTCCTGGATGACTAGAGAAAAAGTAGAAGTATCAGTGGGAATTAAGGAGTTGTAGAGGATGTCTTGAACCTAGGGCAGTTCTGGGTAGCTCACCCATGAGAGGGACAATGAAAAGCCTGAGGGCTCACCTGCTCCTTCACAAAGTCCTCCAACTCTTTCCTAGCAGCTTCAATCATCCTCATATTACGGAGTCCAGTAACCACCTATCCAAAGAGAAAAATACCCCTTTCATGTTGTCTTTCACCCTATTCATCCTGGAATTCTGTCCCAAGCCTCCCACCTACCTCCACTCCCTACTTAATCCTAACCCAACCCCACGCTCCCTTGAAGACAGCTGCTCTGAATCCATGGACCTAGTTCTTTACCCAGGACTAATATCCTTCCCAGAAGTATTAGCCAGGACTTTACCGACTCAAACGAGGACGAATATCCAAATTCTTTTCTCTGTAATGTGCTGAAAAGTTTCTGCAGATAAATTTAAAGTGATAATTAGGGATCACAAGAGAACAGACAGCTAGGTGAAAGATTTATGGAAGTTACAGAAGTTGCTAGTACCTTCATGTTCTCAGCTAATTCCTTCCCAGTGAGAATATGTCCATCTGAACGCCTTTTCACATGCTCGGTGGCTGAATTGCAAACATCAGTGATGTAGTCATGTAGATAGTGAGAGAAATCTGGATCCATATCTGAGGAAGAGAAGATCTGTGATCCTGGGAGATCTGAGTAGTGGAGGGCAGGGTGGCTGGAGTTTAGAAGGGAAGCAGAATGGTAGAGGGGCCAAGATCAGTTACACTCTGAGAAGGGATTATGGGGATGACTGGATAGAGGGGCAGTCACCTTCTGGATTTCCATTGCTGCTCATTGTTATTTTTTTTCCAGGATATGGCAAGAGATAGCAGCAGGCTTGTTTGCTCTTAAGAATCTTCTGAATCCTGGGATATCTGTCAGAAATTTTCTGAGGAGACAGCAAGATGTCAGGATGAGCTCCACGCTTCAGGTGGTAGCTTCTTTCTCCCTTCCAATGTTCCTGTGGCCCTCTCCCACTTTGAATGTCCACACTCCAGTGGTACCTTTCTTTCCTCCCTGAACCCAGGCCTCATGTCCTTTCCCACCATCCTCCAAAAAGTTGCCAAATTGATATTCTTAAAGCATAGGTTCTATAAGTCTGCTCAAGAAGCTTCAATGGCTTTTTATTGCCTCTGGAATTGAATAGAAACTTGTTTGTTTGGTATTTACAGTCCAGACTACCTTCCTAAGTTCTGTACATTACTGCTCTTCATACACTCTGTGAGCTAGCCAAACTGACTTGCTGCTGGCTGCTCCCTGCACTTGCCAGGTCTTTCCCTCCTTACTCCCACCTCAAAGCTCACCTCAAATGACTCCTGCTAAATGAAACCTCTTCTGATTCTCCTCATTTTCTAGTGCCCTCCCTACAAATGATTTTATATATGCTTATACATGTACACGTTGTCCCCACCACCACCACCAAGAAAGTATGAGTTCTTTGAGGGCAGACTGTCTTGCTTTAGACTCAGCTTTCTCAGGTTCTAGTACACTCCTGGCTCAGTAGTAGGCATTTCATTAATTATTATTGAATCAATAAATCGATGAATCAAATCAACGTTCCCACTTGCCTGGATCACATCAATCATGTGTTTTTGGCCTCTCTTCTTTCCAAATCTAGGTGGATGAGACCAGTCACGAACTAAGAGATTCAGATGCTGGAAAAGTGGAAAAGGTAAGAAAGCTTGACAAATGGATTCTGGAAGGGGTCAGAGTCTCAAGGGAAATAGTTCCTCACCTGTACTGGTTCCATCTTAAAACATTCTCCTATCTCTTCAGCAATGTGGAGGAACATCTGGTAAGAAAATATAAGTTAAGGCTCTTCTTGTCACAGGACCAAGATATGCTTAACTGTCACCCCCCTCCCCCCCACACACCCTCCAGGTCCCTTAGACTCTCCTGGAGAAACCAGAGATCCTTTCCTTCCATAGCTACTGGTCCTCATGACCACACTCTGACACCAGAGATTTCCTATTCCAAACCTAGTTCTTTATCTCATATCACTTCCTCTCTTCCCCCCCAACTCCCAGGAGAAGTTCAAAGTATTTGCTCACCTCCAGATACTCCAGATCTGTTTTTTTTCAGCATCCGAGAGACATTAAGAATCTAGGAACAAGGAAGAGAAGGAACTGGGAAGGAGAGCAGGGCAGGAGAGCCTAGAAAACTTGATCATTGAGCATCTCAGAAAGTATGAACCCTTCTTTTTAGGACAAGTACATTCTCAGAATGGAATTATTACTTCTCATGAGAGGAAGAACACTTATTTTGCAAAGCAACATCAAGAACCTTGTGGCTAGCAAATCCTTTTCCCCTCTTGTCTTCAGTGCAGAAATCAAACCTAATCTAGTTTAGTTAGAGTAAGAGGCAGGGATTACTTAGGGCCAGGAGATAGTAAGCACAAACCTAGAAGCCAGTGAGAATCAAGCCATCATTTTCACTAAGAACACAGTAGGTGATCCAGATTCAGTTTTTCTGGTCTAGAAATCTCATTCCTTTTCGGGGGGGGGGGGATAGATATACACAAGATACATGTCAACAATACAATGATTTACAAATACAAATTATATCCACTTTAAATCCTATTTATGAGGTCTGGAGGTTTAGAATGCTGGGACCCCAGATCACAACACACGGGCTCTATCTGAATAAATTCAACTCAAATCTTCTTTCAGCCAGAGAAAAAAGTTTATTAGAGATAAACAGTACAAGCCAAGCTCTTAAGGAATCTGAGCATTAGTGAAGCCTGTAAAGAGAAGCATGCATGAGAAAGTCTCTGTGTTTAAATGGGGGCCAGGGTGGATCTTATATACACTGAAGTAACTTTAGGTGACCAGAGGAGGGGCTTGGAAAAGAGGGTATGTGAGAATTCTGATTGCAATGTCTGAGAGAATGAATAGACAATGGGAACAGATAATGAAGGGAAGTAGAAGGAAGAAGTTTGAAAGGCATCTGAATAAGATCAAAAGATGGGGCTAGGGCTCTCAAAGGGAGATGAGGGGAGTTGATAAGGAACTATTTGAGACCCAGAGTAATAAAAGTTAAAGGCCTGGGGCTTGTAGACCAGTGGGAGCCAAATTCTTTTTGTAGAAAGAGGCAAATGTCTCAGCTTCTGAAACTGAATGATGGGCCCATACCCCATCATTTCCCCCTCAAACAAATGGGACACAAGTTCCTCTGGGGCAAGGGGCGAAGGTCTTGGCTTCTGAAACTGCTTCCTGCTGGCAACGGGTGTAGAGCTGTCCCTCCCTGGCTGGGTCCTGTTACAAAGGGTGAAACTTCAGAACCCAGCTGATGCTAGGTTCAGTGGGCTAGAAAGGAGAGGTTGATATACAGTCTGAGCAGTCATTTGGAAGTTGATGGCTCTAACCTTAGAAGAAAGGAACCTGGTAAGAATATTTAGTAAACATAGACCAAACAAACACAAGAGAAATATAATCAGTAAGGGAATAAGAATAGGGGCCAGTATAGAAAGAAGCCAGGACTCCCATGAAAAAGATGATTTTGGAGCATTGAGATTATTGGGAATTTCTTGCATCTAACTAGCCTTTTCCAAAGCACATTCAGTGCAGAGCTCTACCTGCCCAGACTTATTAATGAATATACAAGAAGATATGTTTGCTAAACCACATACACCCCCACTGGAGGGAAGCAACTAGTCAGGGCTATTCTATTATCTAGAACTGATGAAGATGGGATCTAGACCCCAAAAAGGAAAAACCCTGGACCTTCTCACATGGCCAAGTCTCTGGAGGTCACCTGAGGCCTTTCACTGTGGCCACACCCAATCTCCCCTCCATTGTCTAACCTCCCTATGGCCCCTGGCCATTTCCCACTCTTAATCCTAGCTAGGCTCCATTGTCCAGGTCCCAGGAGTTCTATTCACCCCAGTTTACTGGCCACTCCCATTCAGATCTTCCTTAGACCTCTCCTCCAGTCACCCCAAACTACTTGGCCACTCCTAGATCCCTCCCACAGTCTTTCTGTATATAAGGTCCATCTTTTCTCCATTAAGATGCTTAGATTCCTAAAATCTAGCCACTACTGGGATTTAGAGTCTAGCTACTGCTTAGTTTCTTAAAATCTAGCCCCGGTTTAGATTCCTATAATCTAGCCAATAGTTCACTAATGTTCAGACTCCTTAAGAATCTGCCCAATATGATGGATGTTCTAATGAACTTTGTCTTTGTTTGAAAGAAGGCTTGTGCAGGGCCTGCATGTTATGATTTGGGGATTCCAGGACCCCTAACCTCTAGACCTCATCATATGGTTCCCTGTACCTGGAAAAACTGCCTATACCAAGCTCCTCACCAGCTGGGGACTTGAAGGTATGTAAGCCTCCCCTCTTCCCCTAATCCCTTTTTTTGCCCTGCAATAGGGTGGATTTCCAAGCAACTAGAAAGGCTTGGCTTGGAAGTGCTTTTTGGGCCAAACCTCTCAGGTCCCATTAGATCAGACAGCTACCAGGTTGTCTTGAACTCAGCCTGACTCTCTCAGGCTATTGGTCCAGTGGTTCTCTTCAGACCATGGACGTAGGCATACCTTCTAACTCCCTATGTGGAAGTATAGGCTCAATCCTCTCAGTTCTCTCAGTGCCAGGGACTTGGGAAAACTTAAAGTACTTCTCTGGGCTTTTCACTTTTTTGTCTGTTTCTGGGCACCTTATTTCTAAATCTTCCTTTAAGGAGGGAGGGACTTCCAGTCCCCACTCCTGCAAAGGTCAATCCTCAACGATTCTTGAGGATTTGCCTTTGGGCTGCCTTTTAGGAAACTGGGAAAAATTTAGTTTCTCAAAAGAAATTAAAAAAGATAAGGCTGGTGTCCTTTTGCAACACCATTTGGCCTCAGGATCACCTGGAAAATTATGAGGCATGGCCCGTTTTGGGGACATTACACCAAAATTCACACTCAGAGTTAAAAGGATATTGTATCAGAGAAGGAAAATGGGTGGAGATTGCCTACATAATGACTTTTGTGGAACTTTCTCAAGACCCATTCTCAGAAAAGATTGTAGGATGCTCATAGCTACAGCCACCCCACAAATGGGGAATGAGAATCAACTGGACTTTTTGGATGACCTTCTTTTTATGGCTCCCAGGGCTATAGCACCCTTTCAGTCCCTCCTCCCTCCCTATTGTCCCCATCCCCCCCCCTTTCCATTCCCCTCCCTTCTTGCCTCTTCCCCTTTTCCTCCATCCCAACCCCCTTCCCACTCTGCAATTTCTCCTCAGACCCCTGCTCAGGAGGCTACCCCTACTCAGGTTTTGGTGACACCTCCTCCCCAGGCCCTTCACCTCTGAGGCAAGGACCACCTAGACCTTGGCCTCAGCCCCAGCCTCAGTGGTATCTCCTCCGTTGACCCCTCCCACTCCAGTTTCCAGCTGATTTTTCCCTTTGCCAGCCAGCATTCCCCAGTCGCTCACTTAGAAGAAGTGGGACTTCCTATCTCCCTTCCTCCCCAGCCCCTGTTCCCACAGAGCCTTCAGGGCTTTTTCCCCTAAGGGAAGTTCCTGTCTCCCCTAATGGGACAATTAGAGTGCATGTTCCATTCTCCATTTCAGACCTCATTCAGGTCAAAGGGAAACTGGGACAATACTTAGAAGATCCCACTAAGTTTACTAAGGGCTTCAGGAACATGTCCCTACAATTTGAGCTTTTTGGGGGTGATTTGCAATCCTCTTCTCCACCTGTTGTACTCCACTGAATAGAAGAGGAGAATCTGGGAACAGGTCCAAAAATTTGAGGATCGTTTTGTTACTGATAACCCCACAAAATACCCCCCCTCCCAGGAACAGCTGCTGTTCCCATTACTGACCCAGGATGGGATTATCAGAAGAGTGAGCACAGGGCAAAGAGAGACCACATGGTAATTTGCCTGTTAGACAAATTAAGAACTGCATTTCAAAAGCAAGTAAATTTTCAAAAAATTAAGGAAATTACTCCAGGAGAAAAGGAAAACCCTGCCCTTTTCCAAGACAGGCTAGTAGAAGTTATTAAAAAGTTTGCCAATTTAGATCCTGACTCTAGAGAAGGGGCAACAATCCTTAGCATGTATTCCAGTAATCAGTGTGTCCCAGATTTTAGGAGGAAACTGCAGAAATTGGCAATGGGACCCCAAACACCTCAGGCCCACTTACTGCAGAACGCCTTTGGAGTGTTTAACAACAGAGCCAGTAGCAGCGGAGGAAAGAAAAAAAGGGAAAGGGCTGGAGACAGAGAACATGCTCAATTCTTGGCTGCTGCCATAGCCAGGAAAAGACCCAAGGGTGCTCCTGGCAACTCTGGCAGTGGGAAAACCTGCTTTGGATGCCACCAGGAGGGTCACTGGTCCAAGAAGTGCCCCTCCAGGTCATCTCCTATTGGAGGAAGCCAGTCAACTCAGGCAGTGAGGGCCCCAAAGAGGCCCACTGGTCCAAGGAATGTCCCTCCAGGGCACCCACCCCAGAGGGAGACCCCACAACCAATGCCTCTGGGACTGTGCCCAAGATGTGACCAGGAGGGAGATTGGAGGAAGGAAAAGTGGTGGAGACGCCTCCCTCATCCTCCAATCTTCTCAAGACTGGGAATGACAAGGGGGACTGGGGCTTGGTAGGGCTCCTGCTTTCTCCATGGATCTCACTGAGCCCTGGGCAAAAATGGAGGCTGAAGGTAAGGTTGCCCACTTTATCATGGCTATGTTCTCTGTTCTCTGTTTTAACCAATTACTCTTGCCCTACCACGCCTGGACCTGTTTGGTCTTGGGCATTTAAGGGAAAATTAAGGGATGTCTCTAGACATATCCCCTCCCCTGCCTATTTGAGGATCTGCTGTTTGAATACTCCCTTCTCTTGCCCTGCCCCTTTGTTGGAAAGGACCTGATGGTGAATTTGGGGATCCAGTCTTCCCTAGTTAAGCCTCCCATATCACATTTCCCTCTGTTTACCAGAACTCCCTGTGTTCCCCAGAAGTGTGAGAGACAGTTGAGCTAAGTTTTTGGCATCAGGTAATTACGTCAAGCAACTTTTCATACTTGGTTATCACTAAAATAATTTGACTAATGTTGGTTATTGCTTTAATGTGTAAATTTGCCAAAAAGCTTGTTTGGGTTTTGTCTTGCAAGGAATTTGCAA